TTTTGAGGGGAAATTTTTTTTGGATTTTTTTTTTGGGTTTTTTTTTTTCCCCTTTTTTTTTTTTTTGGGGTTTTTTTTTTTTTTTTTTTTTTTAATTTTGGATATTTAATGTATCAACCAGTTCCAATGTTAAGTGTTTTTATAAAATTAAAGTTTATTGGTCTTCAAGAGAGACCAATTGATAATGTGATAATTGCTATCACATTATCAATACTTGAAAATGGTCTCAAAACAATAATAAATTGTTTATTACAATAACTGCTATGACAATTTATTGTGACAGGTCTATGTGCAGATGTGACCTGGTAGGTGTGTGTCGGTTTTTCTCGAAGCAGAACAAAAGAGGATAATGGTTGATTTTTCAGATGCTTGCGGAGGTAGAAGAGGTTGGTTTCTCAATCAAGTATCGACTAATCACAGACCTCCCAAACGTAAGGAAATTGAAGCCGATTTATTGATCCACCCCTTGTTTTCGATCATCCGGTCACCGGTCCGGGCTCAACAAGCTGACAATTCCCCTTATTGTCCATTTCCTGTCTTCAAGAAAGCAAACTCCCAGATCTTTAATTCAGTGTCTTCATTGTGTCTTAATTAAAAGCAATGCAGGCATTCTCTGGGTAATTAGAACACAAGGACTCTTAAGGCATCCCTGGTTTATTGGGAGAGGTTTAGTGTCTGCTGAATGAATCACCCGTAGGCGGTGTGTCATCAGTAGACAACAAGGTATATATCACTGAGGCCTCTGCCCATCCACTAATCCTCTCCCACACCCCGACCCCTCCTCTCTCACTTCTTTCTCCCCAGCTTTAGCTTAATATCTAGTTTGTCTCAAACACATTCATCTGCCCCCCGAGTGGCGTCTTACAGATTAACAGTGGATGGAGTTTGGAGGCAGCAGCCTCACGCTGATCACTCAACTTTTAACCAAGGCCGGATCTGTACGCTAACCGTGGCCCTGTAGACTTTGAGACCCGAATGGAAAAATGCGCTCAGTGTTCTGAGAGGAAGAGTTTGAGGCGTTGCTGATGATCGAGCAATCGGGGGGGAGGTTGCGGTGACAGCGGTTTGTCCAGGAGATGCCTGAAGGAGCCCTGGTATGTTCCTGTACAAAGCTCTTAAACACAGAGATGAAGAGGAAGACATCCAGGTACACACTCTGCCGTCCATCGGTCAACCTGTGATCAACCTGTTTATCTGACGTTTCTGCCAGATTCTTGCAATAGTGGCTTTAATTTGGCAAGTCACGTTCTCGGCACATGTCTTTGTCTCCTCTTTTTATTACGCAGCATGCTGACACCGGCAGTCGTAACTTAATGTTCAGACTGTAACATAATTTTTTTTGTAGGTTTTAGGAATTGTTAAAGTGCTTCGTTGTAAAGCAGGTGACAGCGTTTGGGGACTTTCCCTCTTTGTGCTGAGAGGGATTAATGGGGCTAATCGCTGCTGGGGTTCTCTGAGCTGAATGGAACAAGAAAGCATGAGGGCAATCAATCAAAAAGTCTTTTAGCTTCAAGCCATATGAAAACTTGTAGCAGAGAATATTGTGCTTTGGTTTATTGCAATGAAATGGCTTGCGTTCTGAATTCAAGTCTTGGATTTTGTGGTATGTTGGGTTTTGAAGAATCAATCAGCCCTTTAAAAACCTCAAACTCTGGTCTAAATCCTGGATTAGAGGCACACACTTACCCCTTGGCCTTTTATTTCATTTGTGGTTTATTACATTCAGAGAACACTGTTGAAACTCCGCAGTCCCTTTTGTATTTCAAACCTTTACATTGAGTCCACACATCCTTAAAATGTCTTAAATTCCCGTATCTAAAATTAAGGTCTTAAAATGTCCAAAATTCAATAAAAATATTTTTATTTTGGCCTTAAATAAGTTAATTACAGGTCTTAAATTTAGTCGTGGCAGCACTACTTAATCGCTTGTATTCTAAGTTGTTGTTTTTTTTTTATCGCATGGGACATTTCTGTCAGGGAAATGTTTGAGTCACACACAAACACCTTCACTGCACTCTGACTTTTGAGGCTACCGCTAACTTGCTGCTAACATACCCTAACCAACTAACTTCATAAATGAGAGCAAATTCATCGCGGTTGCTGGATGTAATTTGAACTTTTCTGTCTTTATGCAAGTCTTAAATACTATTAATGATGATGCAGGTCTTAAATACCATTAATGGTGATGCAGGTCTTTAAAAGGTCTTAAAAGTTTTACATTTGGGCTTAAGACTCAAATTAAAGAGTCTTAAGCTCAAATTTGAGTGAAACATGAAGATATTCATAGCAGAGCTGCTCTAAACATCTTGTTGGTGACAAATCTTAAGGACTCTTAAACTGAACTTTGTCTAGAACGGATTAAATACAAACATAATTAAACATGTGGTGCATTTTACTGCCGTTTCTCACCAATGATTTCTCTTTTTGCTTCCCACAGTCCCAGAAACCCTGGATAGAAAGCACTTTCACCAAGAGGGAATGTGTGTACATACTTCCAGTGTCAAAGGACCCCCACAGGTAAATGGGCCTACCACAGTCTGCTGTGTCTTTTGTTTGGTCTCCATGGAAACTGTGTAATTGCAAGGTGCGAGTCAAAAGTATGCCCGAACGCTAACCACTGCTCTCCAAAGGGTAAATGAGTCTGTTTTAATGTTTACGTCTGTCAGTGTCGGTAATTATATGTTTGAAATGTAGCAGTGGTCACGAACCGGTTTCTTTTTCTTCTTTCGTTTTTTTTTTTTTTTTTTTTTAGCAAGGTAATTTGTGCTTTGTGACATTTCTCTTTGTACACTGGCCTTTTCATGACTTCTTCTGTTGACATGTTAGAGATGGCGTTCATGCGCTGCTTTAGAAGCTCCTACATAATAATGCTAGCAAATAAACTGGAACAGCTGTAAAAATTCACAAAACAAAAGTTTCTGTCAACACGTGACTCACTTAATGAGTAGAAGATTCCCACGGCTCCACAGATTTACTGTTTAACAGCTTCCTTTGACTGAAAGCCATTTCTGTTACCTTTCCAAGAAGCTTGATGCCTCTTTTTCCCCTTCTTAACACATACTCGCAGTGGATCACTCTTTTCTTTGTTTTCTTTCATATTAATTATTTTCCACTGACTTTTGTCCACAAACCGCAGTACGTGCTGCTGCTCTTAGATACAATTTGACATGTTTGGGAACATAACCTTGCTTGACATTAAGCCCAATCCGTTCACATGACCAGAACCCTTGTGAGAGGAAGTTTCTTTGTGAGGTTTTATAACTGAAATGCACCAATCTAAGATCTTGTGGTCAATTTCCAAACTCTAATTTTTGTAAAGCTTTGACTGGGAAATAGAGATTTTTTAAATTTACTTATTGTTTTTGCAATTTCTAACCATTTTCTGGGTTAGTTTAAAATAAATTCAATAAAAGTTTTCATCAAAATAAAACGAGCAACATAAAACAAAAGGGGGGAGCTCAAAGTTGCAGAGTGGTCTCTGCTTATTCAGAAATCTGGAAATGTAGTAAAATCTTCCAAGTTATGATTCAAAACTACTGGCAGCTTATCATCTTTATTCTAAGACAGGTTACCTCTCCTTCTCCTTTGTTTCACACCAGCAAATGCACCTTATCACAAGATGTTAATTTTTTTTCATAATAGAAATTTGTGTAGGGGTGGAAAATACAAACTTAAATATTTTGCACAACATTTTGTGGCAGTATTTTAATAAGACTATCTACAAATTCTTTAGTCTTTTTTTTATTATTTTTTTGGCCACAAAAACTTAATTACATTCATTAAAATGTGACTCCATCAAAATACCATTCAGACAAAGGTTGCTTACTAAACTGCACACAATAACTGCACTTAATCATCATTTCAAATGTATTGAAGAACCAGGAGTTGAGGAAAAAGTTAAAATCCTGACAATATACTATGTTAAAAGAAAACAATTTCGCAATAACATTACAATAAATTTGCAACCTTAGCTGTGTCTAACTTGTTTAAAAATAAAAAGCTCTGATTTCCTGTTGTACCGGGTTGTTAAATCATTAATTTATAGTAACTGTACAGGAGCTTGAAATAGCTGTTCAATCATTGTTTATGTTAATCTAGAGGTAGCAGAGAGCAGCCCGTGTTACACAGCTCTGCAGTTAAAACATTTGTTACTTGTATTTCTGAAAATAATAGTTAAGCCTCTTGGATTGGCAATAACCTCCTGTAGTGTTGGTTGACCCTTCCCCATGCTCTGAGATTTAAAGATGGCCAACATTTCCTAGTCGTTCCAGAAAAGTTTGACTTTTCAGGAAGACGAACCAGATAACCACGTGTCTAATTGAAGACGTCTCCTCCCTTGCTTGTCTGTTTGAACATGCCTCCATTTCCTCTCTAAAAGATTCTTATATCTTTTGTGTCGTGATGCACCAACCCAACTGCTTCCGATGCAGATATCTCAGGTTTAGCACGTTACAGAAAACCAGTCTTGACTGGACTTAAAACCTTTATTTTTTGTTAAACACAGACTGTGCATCTGTACTGAAATACTAATTCAGTTGATAATTCTGCACCAGTGCAGCACACTTGGACATACCAACAGCTTTACATGCTTGGTCAAACGTGTAAAAACAACACAACTTTAGTTTGTCCAGTCAGTTGAGTTAGGAGTATAACATTAGTGAAATGGCTCACCAGCTCCTCTTCATTCAGAATGAACTTCCACTCTGAAGAGGGTGTCAGATCATGTGCAAAACTGGTGGCTTTCCATCTCAAATCAAAACCCAGTAAAACTGGGATCTGTGCCTATCTAACAGATGGCCTACCTCACTATTTTTCCCCCCAAAAGCAACTCTGAATGTTTAACTCTGTTGCTACCCGGTAAACTTTCCATTAAAATTTATGATAATCATGTTTGTGTAATTTTGCTTCCTAGATGCCTGCCAGGATGCCAGATTTGCCAGCAGTTGGTCCGGTAAGTGTTTTTTCTTTTGAACATGATGTAACATAATCCTTTTACTCAACAGGATGATAAACCTGTCTGGGAGATTCCTTTTCTGCCAACCTTTTGCTTACACCATAAAAAAACAATTCCTTGAACTGTTAATCCCATAAAGCAACAAAACCTCCTTTAGGAAACTCTTAATTTGCAGTTTTTGCTCTGGCAGGGAGATAAAAATGAGTCCAGTCTGAAGTTTCATCCTCTGTTGTTGCATTTTACAATCATTCAGGTTGTGACACATTTCAAAATCTTCATTGAACCCAAAACGGATCCAAGTTTTTTTTATTTTTTATTTGTATTGCCTCCATATTGTCACTTGATCCACATCGGCGTGGTGAGCTCATAAAAAGTGAAATTCCAGGAAGTAGAACAAGTTTGCATGAGCTCCAGGGTACTGTGTGTCCATGTCTGACTGGAACATAGTGCTAATGTTGCCTCCCATGAAGTGGCACTTTTTCCTCTTCCCCTCATTTTTACTATAAAATCTTAAAAGAAGCTCATAGGCTGCTGAAAAGACTTCAGATAGTCTGTTATAATGCCGTTGTAGTTTTAGAGTAGATGGGTTTGTTTAATTAAAGAGGCATAAATTGTTTGGTTTTCTGCTTTTATTTCTAAATTGATATATGTTGTCATTTTTCCATTTGAACATGCTTGTGTTGTGACCTCCCCCGTCCCTCCGTTTGCCCCCCAGGTGCTGCTGTGGGCGGCTGGTTCGGCAGCATGCCGGCTTCACAGCCAGCTTGGCCACAAAGTACTCGGATGTGAAGTTGGGTGAAAATTCCAGCCTGCCTGATCCAGAGGAGTGGTCTGTGGAAAAACACACAGAAGCGAGTCCAACTGATGCCTATGGTGTCATCAACTTCCAGGGAGGGTCTCACTCATACAGAGCCAAGGTAGGTGGGCCCGGCTTCCTCTGCTGGAACATGTCGCTTCCTTTTCCAGGAGGTTAACATTATGTTGCAAGCTGGGCTTTTTGTTTGCAATTTCTGATTAATTTAAGCTCTTGATTAAAATGTTTTCTTGCATAATCAGTTTCAAAATGAATAAAAAGATGCACACAAAGCAGCGCAGGTCTCATCGTGTTGTCGCATTCCTCTATCTTTTGTCTCCACAAACTTTGACAGTATGTGCGTTTGTCCCACGACACTCGACCGGAGAGCATCCTTCGGCTAATGTTGAAGGAGTGGCACATGGAGCTTCCCAAGATCCTCATCTCTGTCCACGGAGGAGTTCAAAACTTTGAACTGCACCCTCGCATCAAGCAGGTGGTGGGAAAGGGCCTCATCAAAGCTGCGGTCACCACCGGCGCCTGGATCCTCACCGGAGGAGTCAACACAGGCATGTAGTGTGAAACGGAGCGTGGGTTATTATCTTCTGCAAAGATGCTGAAAACTCTGGCTACAGAGTTTCAGGCACTTTTAAATCTGCTTAATTTCAGCAGAGTCCATTGGTGTGTTTTTTTTTTTTTTTTTTTTTTTGCAATGCAAATCACGCTGTCGATATTTCAAGACAATTTCTACAAAATATCAACTCGTTGGTTGATTACAACTTACGATTGTTTTAGTAAACGATTATTCCAACAATTAATCAATCAATCGGATAAAAAATTATGAGTTTTTGCCAGAACAGATTCACAAAGTGTGTGTGTGTATATATATATATATATATATATATATATATATATAGTTTAATCTTAATTACTGCTCTGAACATGTTCTTTCAGCAATTTACCTTTTTTTTGAGTCTGACCATTAATCAGTTACTGAATGAGTTGCCGATTATTTCAGTAACCGATTAATCACTATTAATCTGATTAATCGCTACATCCCTGATTCCAACATGGCCTCTGCTGCTGCGGCGGCGGTTGCACAAAGGCTGCTGTGCTTCACTTGGAACCAAAGCTAACTTTTTGCCTGTATGTATCTGAACGAAGCCGGATGAGAAAATACAAGATCAGGTTCTTGCACTTAAATCAGTTTGTGCGAGAGCTGTGTTAGTCGACTCTACTAAAAGCGACAGTAGATGTACATTGTAAACATCTACGTTTTGCCGCTGTGAAGACGATGCGCTGATGCAGCAGAAGTTTTAATAGTGGCCCCAGAGCATGTTATTAGGCTGTGTATCGCGGCTGAGGTCTGTCTGCAGCCGCAGCAAGATGCTAAGATGCTGTGGTCTGATCATAGTGTTTAAGTCATTACTCATGAGGTCAATTATCCACACCAGTGATTACTTTTAATGCCTCAGTGGCACCCTGGCCACCTGGGATGGTTGTCTACTTTGCAAATTATTGCTGAATCAAAGAGGTCCGATAGCAGAGCCCTGTGGTTCATCAGGGAGTCCGCCACTCTCATCATGTGGAGGTAATTCTGGTCGTGGAGTTCTCTGATGTGGCTTTTGTTGGTGTCTCCACTGCTTGGTGGACTTTATTGATTTTTAATTTGACTTTTTCTTTGATATTGTTAACTGAAGGTGTTTTTTATATTTCCAAAGGTGTTGCGAAGCATGTGGGGGACGCGCTTAAAGAACACTGCTCAAGGTCATCAAAGAAAATTTACACAATTGGAGTCGCACCATGGGGAGTCATTGAAAACAGGAGTGATCTCATCGGCAGAGATGTAAGACACGCCTCTTAATTCAAAGTGATCCGTCTTGATCTCGGGTCGTTTCAAGAACTCTGCTTGTATTTCTGCTTATCTCTACTTTTTTTTTTTTTCCCCAAATGCAGATTATTGTCCCTTATCAGACCCTGTTGAATCCTCTCAGCAAGCTAAACGTTCTCAACAATCTGCATTCCCATTTCCTGCTGGTGGATGACGGGACGGTGGGCCGATACGGGGCTGAGGTCAAACTCAGGCGGGACCTGGAGAAACACGTTAACCTGCAAAGAATACACGCAAGTAAGGAAAGGTTTCCGTTTATTTAATGAAACAACAAAATGTGAGGAAAAGCTTTAGTTTTTTTAAATAAATAAAAAAATAACTGTAAGGAAAGAGGTTTCTTTTTTTGTTTATTTCAAGATAAAACAATGTCTTGAAAAGTGTTCATAAGCCTGTTAATTTATTGCCATTTTGTCACACCACAACCACAGACTTTTTGGGATTTTCTTTGATAGAATAGAGCACATTGTATATAATGGAAGGAGAATAATGCCCAGTTTTCAGAATTTTGTACAAACAAAAATCTGAAAAATTGGCATTCATTTGGGTTCAACTGGACTTAGAAAGCTAACGCTGGTCCGTCTAAAAACCTCGGTCTCAATTCGGTTGAATGAACCTGATGCCGTTTGAATGCATATGTGAATGCAAGCGGACTGGAGACCGCTACAAAAGCAGGAAGTGGACTATAGTGCAGGGAATTCTGGGTAAATACAACCAAACCAAATGCGTGAGTTTAGCACTAGTCCTACAGTACTAATCCTACAACCGTTAAAATCTGACACTACTCCATTTTGCTTAAATTTTGTGAAGCAGCAAGTTGTGCTCATGTCTTCTTTGGAGGTTTTTGTGTCGTTTCCATCAGTGGTTCTTGATACAGCGCCACCACAGGCAAGGAGGGAAATCAGATATCTTGGATCGTTTGACACAGTTCAGTGTGAAAGAGCTGCAGCAGCTGAAAATGTAACAAACGTTAAAATTTTAGTCCCGAATCGAACTGAGTCTACCAGACTATCAGGTGTGAAAACACCGACTTTAATTCTTTGAGGTGTCGAACGTAGACCTGCACCAGAGAGGGTTACATTTCCCACAAGGACTTTTAATTACTACTTTCTTCAGTGGCGGTTTGCGTCTGCCTGGTGTAAACCGTGTGATAGCAGCGAGATTGGTATCATCACCACAACCTCTCACACAGTGTCTGCAGAGCACAGCTACTTTAAAAAAAAAATAGTTTTTCTACATCACTTGTAGCCTCTGCGTTTGCAAATGTGGGTTTTAGTAAAAAGCGTGCCAAAAACGTGTGAAGTGTAAATTCACTCTTTTGCCCTTCTTTTGTTTGTTTTTGTGTTTTTCAGGAATCGGTCAATGTGTTCCTGTCGTGGCGTTGATTTTTGAGGGCGGTCCAAACGTGATCCTGACCGTGCTGGAGTACCTCCAGGAGAGCCCTCCTGTCCCTGTGGTGGTGTGTGAGGGGACGGGCCGTGCTGCTGACATATTGGCCTACGTCCACAAGCAGACAGAGGAGGGGGGGTAGGTTAAACACACAGAGGACACATGAAAAATAAAAAGACGGCTCATATGACTGTTTTGGTGTCAGCTTACCCGTTAAAAGCCTGAATGAAATAAATAATAGAGAAAAAGGCAAAATCAGAATAAAGAGGGAACAATGATGACCAGTTTGCATTCTGATCTTTTTAAAAAAGATCAGCAACTGTTTAGTTAAAATCATGCTATCGTGTTTTATATATTAAATGGTATATTTTGTTTTTCCTTTAAGAGCAAAATTGTTAGCCTGTTGAGTTTTAACAATTCACATTATGAAGTTTTTGTTATCAAATCTGTAGCTGCTGCTTGAGCTCAAACCACAGTAATCCTCCAGTGATGTTTGTTCGATTTTATTTTTCTTGCAAGTCGCCATCTGACTCTCAGAAGTCAGAATTTAGGACACAAGATTAGCATGTTTGTGTAAAAAAAAGATTTGCAGAGACCCATAACGAGCCGGGCCGAGTGGAGTGAGATTTCTTCAGTACTTGAATGATACGAAAAGAACCTCTAATATGTTTTTACATCTGTTTGTTGGAAGTTATGTGGAATCTGTCCTTTTTTCCACCACATAGAGGAAAAATCTATCCTGCTTTGCTCTTTGTTGTGTTTCTTTATTTTAAATCACAAAAAATGGAAATTAAATGGTTCTTTAAAATAACAAATTTATGAAAGTAAATATTTATCTACAAATATAAGTTGTGTCTTAAGTTTCCAAAAAGTCTTGTGATGTTTGCCACTAATCTAAGTAAGTTTTATTTGGCTGGTCCGAGAGCAGCAATGCAGGGCTGCCCCTCCTCCACCTGTTGCTGCTCACTGACAGGCAGCAAACCGAAAGGAGGTCAGCTACTCTACTCCAATGTGTCACTCTTGCTGATTCTGGTCAACAACAGATTTGCATCTCTAGTTATCCCTAATTGACTTGAAACTGAACTGAGAAGTTTTTTTTTGTTTATTTCTATCAAATCATCACTTAATTCTTACCCTTTTTAGATCAAAGTCTTGTTCCCCAAACATCCAACAGGGATATAATTTAGTTAACCGTGGCTCATAGAGACTTTACAGACATTTGATTTGTATGTGGGTTATCTCACTCCTCTTGCTGGAGCCTGTCTAATTTCTTCGAAATGAAAGTTGTAGTTCTTGGAAATGAAACTTGGCAAAATATCCTTTGTGCCCCACATTCCTCAGTCTTGTGGCAACAGGTTGGTGTTTGACGTATCCTGCAGGAGCCAACAACACACCTGCTTCACCGCAAATGTTTTGACTTGAAATCGAACCAACATGGGTGTTAATAAGGGACTCATAATGGACAAAACTGAGTCAAATTCTTTGACTGTTGGATCAGTTTAGTGCAGCTCGTAAAACACTTCAGATAAGCAATCAATCATTACGGTAGTAGAACCTCAGATAAAAGTCTGCTGCTTTCTAGAGATCATTTTACCTGCTGAAGGATTCTAAGTCCAACTTGTACCACATTTTATGGCGCCGTGTGTGACTCTAATCGTCGCTCTGCAGCGGCCTTCCCGACGGGGTGGAGACGGACATCGTCGCAACCATCAAGAAAACGTTCAACTTCAGTCAGAACGAAGCCATCCATCTCTTTCAGAAGCTCATGGAGTGCATGAAGAACAAAGAACTGGTAAAATGTTGCATCTTTTCTTTTTTATATACGTTTTATTCTGGGTTTCCCCCGGAAAACTAGCTGTTTTTGTGTTTTAAAAATGTTAATAGCTGACAGGAAATTTTGGAAATAACCGTCAACAACAGAGAAAATACAGCAGCGGACTAAATAAAGCTAGTCTTTTGGTAGGTTCTGTATGTATCATCAAATGACATTATCTTTTTAAATAGATAATTGTCTGCTAAAGATGGCTTTATTACATATAAACCTAACGCTACCCATCTTTGCCATCACTGTAACAGGTGTATTTAAAAAAAACAACAAACATTTAAACTAAATAAACAATGTTTAGCCTGGTGGTCCGCCAGGCTTTTAATACACTGGGGGAAACCCAGATTATTATTATTATTATTATTATTATTATTATTATTATGACACAGGATCTACTTGGATGCGTTATGGACACTCAGGCAGGTATAACATCAGTTTGAAAATGGCTCAATAAATTGAATCTAATGAAAAGTAAACGCTGCAGGCCAGAGGAGTTGGGCATCTCAGTCGTATACTGAGTGACTGCACCCCCCAGCCTCAACCCTCCCCTTTCCCATGAGGGCTTTAGGAAATAAACAGAGAATAATGTTTTCACTGAGTCAAGTCTTTTTGCTGTGAACTTTGACCCTGTTTGTTTAGTCTATTTATGCACATTTTGGCAAATTTACACCATGAAACTCTGCAGATTTTTGATGAGAAACAGAAACAAGCAGGTAATGAAATTTCATGATGGCAATTGTTTTTACTCCATGTTTTTAAAATGATGAACATAAAATCAGCTATTTAGTGGTAATAATGCAGACTGTGTTTTTTTTTTGTTGTTGTTTTTTTTTACACAAGTTCAGATTGAGACAGAAAAGTAAAGCCAGTTGCTGTTCATGCCTCCCATCCTCCTTGTCTTCGAATGAGCTGAACTAATTTATCCTCCAACTCAAAAGGTCACCACACTGCAAAAATACGAAATCTAACTAAATATTGGTCTAGATTCTAGTGCAAATTTTTCTTTCAAACATGATGGCAGTATAAAATTACAGACATGAACAAGGAATGCAAAGGCACATATTTTTTATACCACAATAATCTTAACATGCTGGAAATATCTTAATGTCTCAATTCAAGTAACTTATAACAACTTTTCAACTTGATACAGGAGCTTGTTTTAAGTCAATAAGTACTTATATTGATGATCTGCTAGTGAAACAAGACGTTAGAACTTATAGCATGAGGAAAATGTTTGACCCCACTGGCAGATTATTTCACTGATAACAAGCATTTTTTTCATCAATATTAAGGAGTTATTGACTCAAAACAAGCTTCTGTTTCTTACTTTTCTTATTTCAAGTGTACCAAGACGTTTGCACTGGAATCTAGACCAATACTTGGTTAATTTAGTGTTTTAGCAGTGTAAGTCATAGCAACGCTCACAGCGTCGCTGATGGCAGCCGAGGACCCCGGTGTTAGCAGTACAAACGGATGCCTGGGTGAAATAAGTGGAAACATCTGGGCACGGTGTGTGGGAACCTGGTAATGATCCGATCTTGTTTCTCGGTCAACAGATCACCGTGTTTCACATCAGCTCCGAGGAACACCAAGACATCGACGTAGCTATTCTGAGGGCCTTGCTCCAAGGTTTGTGAAACGGCTGCTTACTAAACCACCATGTTCTTCAGCTCATCTAATAAAAGAGGAGGAATAGATTAGATGAAGTCCTACGTCTTTTTTTGGTATTTGGAGTTTAATATTGCCTTTTTTCTCTGTTTTCATTCCGATATGGATATGCTTTGAGAACACAGTTCCCCCTCTGTGCCCTTCCCTTTGTGCTCTCGATGAGATCAGGTTGCTCACATTCACATGAACTCCCCGTTCCTACGGTTTCTGAGTCTCGTGTCTTTCACTCTTTGCGTTGGAGATGCAGGGATTCTACTTTACTCCGACGAGGGAGGAGCGAATTCCTCGGAGCGCATTTTTGTGGCTCGTTCACCCTCATTCCAGGTCATCCCTGCTAAGACTGGAATATTTGCCTTTAACTACTTAACAATTCAGAGAAACCAGTTTAGACATTCAAGACATCCAGTCAAGCATGAAATGTCTAAGGTGCAGTCGCCTTTGTTCAATAAAAATCTATTGTTTAAAAAGACCTCAAAGTATTCAAAGCTTTTAAAGTCATTAGATAAAACGGAAAGCTTTTCTGTTTACCACTACAATATGCAGCTTATGCAATAGATTGCTCACTAAATTAGAAAAGGGAGAAGCAACAATACATATACAAGCTTGCCAAACAATTTTGCATTTCTGTTGAAATTGTAATTTGGGGTCCAGATAGAGAATTATTTTTACCAGAGCTGCTAATCATGTTATGATTAAATCAGACATCTACGCTGTTATATTTCACAAAAAATTATTTTAAACCTGTCAATGCAAAATAGAGAAACTTTTAAAGAATAAAAAAGTCACCTTAAATAGTGTTATTTAGGCCCAAATATTTCTAATAAACATAAGAAATAGACTGATTTTATCTTAGAGATGTAGCTAATGATTATTTAAGTGATCCGTTATTCTGACGATTAATCAAATAATGAAAAAGGGACATTCTGTAGATTTTTTTCATTTGACTACTTAAGATTATTTTATACAATGTGTAGAAATGCATAAGAAAATAAAAATAATCCATATTCTTTTAAAAATAAAAATACCATAATCACCTGAAGGGATGTGCCGTCTAGAATAATACAACGAACTGAAAAGAGGATTATAAAAAAATTATATCACTCTTTCTGAATAGATGAAATGTTTCATGTTTCTAAATAAAAATTTGAATGGAAAAAAAAAATAAAAATACCAGTTTTATTGCCCAAAATATAATAATATAGCTTGATCATTTTCCAATAAAACGAATACATGTAACACGAACATGTGAAAGGCTTTCTGCTCGACTTAACATCAACATGTTGACTATTTTTTTGGATTAACTTAATAGTTGGACAGCAAAGGTAGCCTAAAAGGAGTTCATTACTATTATTATTTTTATTATACAGAATTTGAATCAAGATGATGTTTAAAACACCACTAGGGTCTTTCTGGATAGATCATATTTACAGATCAAAGAAGGTTGTTTTTTTTAAGTCTTACAAAATGTATTTTTGGCTTATTGGCTGCTCTGAGTGCATTCTTTTATCAAATGGCCTTTTTTGGGTTTATGAACTTCAGATAACGATTATTCGATGCCAAGTTTAGTTTACGATTATTTCAATAAATGATTAATTACAATTAACCCGATTAATCGTTTCAGTCCTATTTTATTTATCCACTTTTTGCTTATTTAAGTGATTGTATGAAGCATTTATTCAGGGAAAACTTCAACTCTCTTCAGCCTGTTTATTGATGGCCCATCGTTGTGTCTTTAGGTTCAGGTGACGATTCACTGTGAAACGTTACAGTTCGCTCCTTCCAGGCCCAATTCATCTATAGTTTCAAGCTCCAGTGTCCTTAGCTTTGTAAATTAAAAGAAAAATATCCTGAGCCCCTCCCTGTATACGCCAATTTAATGAAAAAGGTTTTTACAGATGCAGAAACAACAAATCCCTCTCAGTTAGCTATAAAAATCGACGTCAGTGATTGTAATGACTTGCCCTAATAATGATTTCAGTTGGACGGCTTACAAAGCCGATCACATGAAAGAGATCAGCTCTCTTGGATTTAGCTCATCTAATCTGTTGCTCTTTGTGTGTAAGTGACTGTATTATACCTTTCCAGCTGCCTAACTAAAAACACAGTTAATGTTCCATCACCTGTTTTCAAGCAAATGCATTTATGAGCTGCTTAACGAGTAGACCTGTGTGTTTCAGGCACAAACGCATCTGCCTTCGATCAGCTGGTCCTGACTTTGGCCTGGGACCGCGTAGACATTGCCAAGAATCACGTGTTTGTGTACGGACAGCAGCTTCTGGTATGTCTATGGATTTGTTTGCATGTGTGTGAGAGAGGGAGCCACGGCTCCCAGGGTTGTTTGCTCAGCTAAAAACCTTCGGACTCACCCAGAACGACCTCAGAGTCCCCGCTGGCCGCGGTTTGTAGGGCAGGCTGCCAGGAACTGCTTGTCTTGACTGTAACATGAACCCCGTTACATTTGTCTTCATAAGCGACTCTGCAGGCCTGTGTTTATTTTAAAACTGGAGTCTTGCGTAAATGAGAGGATGGATATTTATTTTTGCTTTTTTTTTTTTTTTTCCTTTTCTCCCAATATTTTTTGTTTTCTAAACACTGTTTTGCTATGAAAATACACTTCATAACTGGTTTTTGTTTGTGTTTGTAGGTGAGCTCTTTGGAGCAAGCTATGCTGGACGCTCTCGTCATGGACAGGGTGGACTTTGTGAAGCTGCTCATAGAAAACGGCGTCAGCATGCACCGTTTCCTCACCATCAGTCGGCTGGAGGAGCTCTACAACACGGTAGCCTTGGGAAACACTCCGTACTTCATCAATAAATAAGAACCCATAAATAGTTCTTATTTATTAAATCTAATCTTCTTTTTCCAGAAACAACCTCCCAACAACCCAACTCTCCTCCACCTGATCAGAGACGTTAAACAGGTAGTGGATCAGGGCTCCTAATGGCATCGATCGGTCGATGTGAAGCGGGACTTTGCTAACATTTTGTGGTTTCCGTATCGCAGAGTAATCTTCCCCCAAACTATAAAATCACTTTGATCGACGTGGGCCTGGTCATCGAGTTCCTGATGGGTGGGACTTATAGGTGTAACTACACCAGGAAGCGCTTCCGAATCATTTACAACAATCTCCACGGCAACATTAGGGTGGGTGGAAAAAGGAGCTAATTCTGGTTCTGACCTGCTAGATATAACTTTTCAAGAGAAGTATTGTCTTTTATTACAATGTTGTCATTTGTTGCAGTAATATTAACATGAACAATACAGTGTAGGGCTGTGTGACTATATCTAACTCATCAAATGTGCGACCTCAGTACATCAGCTAAATTAGCATTCAGTTGTACCGCTAAAATCTCCTGGATTTAGTCATCAAAAATACTGCTTTTTATTTATGCTGTCCTGGAATAAAGAGCAAAAATAATTCTATCAACCATATACAAGGTTATTTATTAAGGTTTGCAGACACAATTAATTAGAGTTAATTAATGTGGAGAAAAGTGACTCTGGTAATATTTGTGTTTTGTACAGAGGTCTGGACGCCACACCGTGGGTCCCGGCTCTCATCTGAGAAAGAATCACGAGACTTTCAGCATGCAGGCTGACAAGAAGGAGAAGACGAGACACAATCACTTCATCAAGACGGCGCAGCCGTACAAGCCCAAGGTAAACCCCTGCTGTTCAGTACAGAAGACGACGCTTCTCCCAAACACGTTCCTGAAAATAAAAAGGTTTTTAGTCTTTCTGGTTCGATGAAAACACCGCTAAAGCCTCGCCTCTCTCCTCAGCTGGAGAGTACCGCTGAGCAGAACAAGAAACGAAGCAAGGAGGAGATCGTGGACATCGACGACCCGGAGACCCGCCGCTTCCCCTACCCTTTCAACGAGCTCTTAGTTTGGGCCGTGCTCATGAAGAGGCAGAAGATGTCTCTCTTCTTCTGGCAACACGGGGAGGAAAACATGGCCAAGGCGCTGGTGGCTTGCAAACTCTGCCGCTCTATGAGCTACGAGGCAAAGAAGAGCGACGTGGTGGACGACACCTCCGAGGAACTCAAAGAGTACTCCAAGTGAGGTCGCCTAACGCTCAACGTTTTTCACCAAACAATATTCCCGCATTAACAAACTTCCGTGGCTCGTTTCAGTGAGTTCGGGACGCTGGCGGTGGACCTGCTGGAGCAGTCGTTCAGGCAGGACGAGACCATGGCCATGAAGCTGCTGACGTACGAGCTGAAGAACTGGAGCAACTCCACGTGTCTGAAGCTGGCCGTCTCCTCCCACCTTCGGCCGTTTGTCGCTCATACCTGCACCCAGATGCTGCTGTCAGACATGTGGATGGGACGGCTGAACATGCGCAAGAACTCCTGGTACAAGGTTCATGCTCCATCTAGATCTTTATTTTTGGTTGCAAGCAGAAGGTTGGGTGAACTTACAGTGGGAAACCTGCACCTTACATTGATCTATTATTATTATTATTATTATTATTATTATTATGTTTGCTCATTAATGTTGTTTAACACTAGTTGGTATTATAGTTAATGATGAAAAGCATCATTTATGATGGTTCCTTTTGGAGTAAACCTTTTATAGTCATTTGAATGAGTTTTTATACACAAATAATTGATAAATCGATGCTATAAGAGGTCAGTGTAATGTCTATTTCAAAAACTACTTGAATTCTGATGGTCAATCAAGTTAGTCAAGTTTATTCGCAAAAGCAGATCTGGTTGCCTTTTAGTTTTCCTGTCAGTAAAGAAATGTGCAAATCTCAAGTCAGTGCTGAATTGATAAATCGGATCAATAAACTGTCAAAATAACTGATAACTAATTTAGTAATTGATCAATCGTGAACTGGAGCATACAGACTTTTAAAATAAATGACAATTGCTGGAAGAATACTCCCACAGAGCAGTAATTACACCAGAAGTGTACAAAATATGTACATTTTGCATTTACAAAATGGAACTGAATTGATTTATTGTATTTTATAATGTATTTCTAATGGTGTAAGTTGGTTAAATGCAAAATGTGCCAGTAGTTTTATTTGATTTAAATAATTGATTCACTAAAAATAATCATTGGTTGCAGCCTAAATTAGGATTTTTATCAGTTCATTACAGTAATTGAGTTAGACATAGGAAGCTCATATCTACATTTATTATGCTCACAATATTAAGTTTTTATTTCTGTAAATTTAACTGATTATTACAGCTAAAGAAAAAAAAAATTTAGTATTAGAAATTTGAGAATTACTTAAGACCATTAAAAAATCCTTTAAAAAAAATACAGAAATGTTCTCAGAGTATATTCATTCAAAACAAGGGTGTTGGCGTGAAAACTTGCTGCTTTCTGGAAAACAGCATGTTGGACTCATTAGCTCAACGCCAAAATGATGAAATCTGTAATCGTTATAATGGCTGAAGTTCCCTTTAAAACAAAAACAAAACACTTTCTTTAATGATGCTCTTTATCCAGAAGCATGTGTGCATAGTTGATGCTGACAAATCTAGCAGCAGCCACCCACATGAGTGTGTATCCTGCGCTGTGTCAGGTGATTCTGAGCATCCTGGTGCCTCCTGCCATCCTGCTTCTGGAGTACAAATCCAAAGCGGAGATGGCTCACATCCCTCAGAGTCAGGACGACCACCAGATGACCATGGAGGACAGCGAACACAACTTTCAGCACATGACCGAAGACATCCAGATGGTAGGATTCGCTCCTCATGATTTGTCTGCTGCAGGGTTCCTCAAGGGCAAAAACCAATCCAGATTTTTGCAAATTTTTAAGAAATGCTGTTCTGTCACTTGATTGGTCGTCCAACGCGGCCTCTCTAACCTTTTGCACAGGACGTCTTCAAGGAAGCCAGAACCCACGAGCATCTGGAGGTGAAAAACGACATGGAGAAACAAGTCCGCTCCAGAAAGCTGCCTTTAACGAGGAAGATCTATGCCTTCTACCACGCTCCCATTGTCAAGTTTTGGTCCAATACGGTACGAAGTGAATGCAAAGACATTTACTGCTTTTTTGTTTGTGTGTGTGACTTTTAAATCCGTAACACATCCTCCTGCATGTCAAAAGTCAGAATTTTGGCACGTTTCACTCACTTGTAGGCTGCAGCCATTTCTGTCATGTTGCAAAAACAAAAGAGCAATCAGTGGGCTCATTACGTGTGAACACAATCCTCTATAAGTAGGATTCCACACATTCACCTCGTCTTTTCCCATCTGGGGCTATTTATAGCCCGGAGCCGTTTCCCTGGAGCCTGGGATCCAACGCGGCCGGCTTTATCTGCAAACACGGGCAGTTTTTCAGGTTGTTCAATGTCGAGGGGCGTCGATAAGATCGCTGAACGCTGGCCGACATAATACAGCCTCAGCCTACGCTTATCTACATCAGCTGTACCTGCTTCCATCCCGATTCCAGCACCAACTCTGCACCATTGACTTATGCGTCACCGGTGGGAGAGTGACTGATTTTTCCATCACTTCAAGCCTCACGCGTCAAGGTTCAGCTGCTTTAAAAACCGTGGACCTGGTCAAAGAGGAAAGACGAGGCTGACATTTTTTTTTTTCCCACAGTCTGCACTTTGCTTCACCTACTTGTTTCTTTTCGAAAAAATAAGAAATTTTCAAACACAACAAAAATCTTCAAATTATTCTGATTTAAATTCCCAAACTGTGACTTAGTGCCAGAACTTCAAATTATAGCAAAGGAAATGAGAATTGCATTCAAATAAAATTCACTGTCCTGATCCTTTGAATTCACTTAGAAAGATTCAGTTCAGTTCAATTTATTCTTGTTGCATCAATTCCCAACAAATGTCATCTCAAGGCATTTTACAACACAAAAGGGTCCACTTCATATTCAGTTTTGCAGAAGTATATTAAAAGAATCTAATAATATCCAGTTAAAAAGATCTAATTTGATTCTGGTTGTCATACAATGGATTCAATCTAAAATCCACTAATATACACAAATATTTAGTGACATTTTGGCTAAAAATGAACACAATTTTATAACAAACTTACTTTTTACATTTTTGTTCTTCTGATCAGTTTCAAATGTTTTTAAAAATCTGCAATTACAGTGGTTTGACCACTAGATGGCAGGTCGAGAAGCTTTTTTTTAACACTAACAGGGTTAAATATTTTAGTCATTTAAATATGACTTAAATATTTTTGTTTTAATGAAGTTCACTATTGTAAAATTTTAAATTTATATATGAGTAACCTCTATTCTCTTGCTTTTAAGCTGATTTTTCTTTTCTTTTTTTGTGCCAGTTTAAGACAAATATTAATCTCTTAAACAGTTTTATTTTGCTAAATGTGCTGTCTTTGTAGTTTTGACAAAAGCTGTGGTGAAAATTCTAGTAAACTATTGAAGGGGTAAAAAATTGGCAAGTCTCCCTTTGCAGTTCAATAAAATAGCCCCTATGCTGAGTTTTGAGACCACAATTATCAGTAAAACTAGAGTATTTGCTGCTTTCATTCGGCTTTTTATTTCCTGTTAGAGAATCTATAAAAGACATTTCAATGAGAAGAAGAAAATTTTTGTTGAAACAATCATCAAATTATATGTAAAAGACCAACTAATTTCCTGTCACAAGTCTCATCACCTTTTTGTTGCCTTATTTCTTGTTTCAACGTTCTTCTGTTTTATTTGCGTTCCTTTGCTTCCTTCGTTTCAGCTTTTCTACCTGTTCTACTTGATGTTGTACACGTATGTGGTCCTGGTGAAAATGAGCAACCTTCCTTCTCTTCAAGAATGGGTGGTCATCCTCTACATCTTCACCTCCGCTATCGAGAAAATCCGCGAGGTTTGTGGAACAAAAGCGTGCACCGTTGCAGTCATCATCCAAAGACTTTCAGCAACACAGCAGACCGACTGTTTAGGAGCTTTTGTTGAGAAGTTCTACACAAAACATTGTTTCCTAACTATATATCATCTTAAATTGTTTCCCTTTTGTGTTTTTCAGATGTTTATGTCTGAAGCAGGCAAAATAAGCCAAAAAATAAAGGTGTGGTTCAGCGAATATTTCAATGTGTCCGACTTCCTGGCCATCGTTACGTTCTTTATCGGTTTCGGACTGAGACTGGGTGGAGAGCCCACCTTCATCCCCGGGCGGACAGTGTACTGCCTCAACATCATCTTCTGGTACGTCCGACTCCTGGACTACCTGGCCGTGAACCAGCAAGCTGGGCCGTACGTCATGATGATCGCTAAAATGGTGAGCACATTCATTTGGACATTTGAAACTTTAGTTCAGCATGAAAAGCATTATTGCAATAATAAGCTTTCATTTGTATAGAGCGGGTATTCTTTAACATTTTTGGCTTTTCTACCCAAGCATAAGAAAGAAATTAGATAAACCCCCATTAAATGTAGCCCGAAGCTTTTCATAATAAGCAATTAATCTCATGACGAACCAAAATGAGCTTGTTGATTTCTATTCTGATTATTAATATTTTTAAATTTTATCATCTGTTTTATTCATGGCATTGGTTCTAAGTGGGTTTTTATTTCCCTTTTATTCATTGTTTTGTCATGTTTTGAATATTTAAAATATCTTCCAGTTCCAGTGCTGTTTTCAAAATTGAAGTTTATTACAATTGGCATTATGCCATTGTCAATATTACTTGGAAATGGTCTCAAAACAACAATGTTATCGTTTATCGCAATAATTACTGGGGCAATTTATCATCCAGCAAAATTTATGATGACAGGCCTGCTGAATACAGCATATTGCATCATCATTGTCAGGCAGTATTAATGTGCGCAATATCACCATAACAAAGAACTACTTGGATGCAACATTTGGTCGGATATTCTTTTCCAGTTGCTGTGAAATAAAATTTTCACAGCAAATTTTATTTCTGTAATATGGCTGGAGAATAAATGAACGACGTATATCAATAGACATATGATAAATATCTATAGATAATAGATTTGACAGAATATTCAATATATAAAATATTCACTGAACTCTGATTCAGAGCATTCTGGGAGATGTAGGCAGAGGAAAGACGAGCTGCTCACAGCGAGGTAAGCTAGGTTTGTGGCACCAACTAACTCACTAGCCCTTTAGTTACCTAGCAACAACCTTTTGAGCAACTTGCGCAGCAGCTGTTTCATGTTTTGCCACCGTGCCTCATAACTGCCTAAAAATGAAAAAACAATAGCAAGTTTGGCTGTATTTCAAATATTTAAATCAAAAAAGGAATCAATAATCATCCACTGACATGAAAAGCATGTATCGTGATAAGTTTCTCATCCATATCAAGCCCTCGTCTGTAGTACATTTGACTTTTAATGCCCTAAATAATGTCTGTTTTTCGTGGCCAACATGCTAAAGCTGATAAAGTGAATGCTCCTGACTGCATTCACTTTAAACTAAGAATAATATTCCAGTTGACATTGGTCTCATGTTGCATTTACTACTTTGGCATGTCTTTCAGGTTGCCAACATGTTTTATATTGTGGTAATAATGGCCATTGTCCTGCTGAGCTACGGCGTCCCGAGAAAAGCTATTCTGTACCCCGACGAAGAGCCCAGCTGGACTCTGGCCAAAGATGTGGTTTTCCAGCCGTACTGGATGATGTACGGAGAAGTGTATGCCTATGAAATTGATGGTAAGAATTGACTATGTTGGAAAAAAAAAGAACAATTACCTAACTTCTCTTAAGTTCTTGTCAGGTTATTCAGCACATGACTTGTCATTGTATCTGGCTTCTCCTCTTCACAGCGTGTGCCAATAACAGCGAAACCTTTGCCAAGAGCCTGTGTTCAAACATAGTGTGGCTCACGCCTTTCCTGCAAGCAGTCTACCTCTTTGTACAGTACATACTGATGGTCAACCTCCTTATTGCCTTCTTTAAGTGAGTGCAAAGTGTTTTCACAAATGAATAACGTAGTTGACTTTTCATAGTGAGCTCCTTGCTGTTTTATTTGGATTGTTTTCATTCCTGGTAACGGGGGCAGTCCGAGGTGTTCAAACGCTCTTAGATTCAAGGTTAATGTAATCAGAGGTCGCGCTAGACTTTTTTGGTACCCGTCATTTTGACCGACAGCATTAAAAGAAAATCGGTCATGTTCTATTTTTACCCGTCACATTATAATCATATTAACATCAGCTATTTGGCTCCATTTTTATGTGCTTTAGTTAATATTCACCTAGTTGAACCTGAATCCAGATCCTATCACAGATGAATGCATCTAACCTTTTCTCCACAGTAAAAAAACAAAACAAAAAAAAAAAAACACCACTGACTGTGGCCCCAACAACTTATAATAAATTATAATGTCTTCAGCTCCATTTGTTAAAACCGCAGGATGAGTTAGTTTAGTTCTTCGCAGCGGCAGAGCAGCGGCCACATTAGATGTGCAGCGGACTGTACATGTTATGGCCTAATTAACTTCTGCACTGGTATTTATTTTCTCAAGATAAACTGCCGGCTCCTCTGTTTAGACTATAAATGGATTAATAAAACATTGCATTCTCTTTAGTTTTCTCTGTTCTGTACTGGAGATTGGAGTTAAAGGCGCCATTTCAAATAAAGGTTTGTAATGCGCTTCTGAACCAGACGTGCTCCAAAGCGTCCGATACATAACTCTTCAACAGCAACACGCTGTCAGCTCCCGGTCAGAAAGACGCATTTAGTTCAGAGTTCATGAGATGATATTCAGAAAGGATTTTTTTATTGATTAATTTTAGTTGCCTCTGCAAAGAACTCTTTGTGTAAAGTCAATGTCTGCCCATGTGCACCAGTCAATTATAACCTGTCAAATGACCGACAGCCTTCAAATTTTCCCATCATTTAAAAAAAAAAAAAAAAAAAGGACATATACTGAAAATATTCCGTTAACATGACCTCTGATTGTAATGTGCTTTTTGCTTTGCAGCAATGTATATATACAAGTAAAGTCAATTTCCAATCTGGTGTGGAAGTACCAGCGCTATCACTTTATTATGGCCTACCACGAGAAGCCTGTCCTCCCGCCGCCCTTCATCCTCCTGTGCCATATATACTCACTCTTCTGCCTGTGCAGAAAGAGGAAGAAGGAGAGCACCTACGGACCAAGTAATGATCCTTTTCTGTTTTTTTTTTTTTGTTTTTTTTATAAACCAATATATGTCATTTCACTTGTTAAAACCTTTGTTTTTTATTTTTTGCAGAGCTGTTTCTCACCGAGGACGACCAGAAGAAGCTTCACGACTTTGAGGAGCAGTGTGTGGAGACGTACTTTCACGAAAGGGATGATCAGTTTCACTCGGGCAGCGAAGAGCGCATTCGTCTTACCTCTGAAAGGTGAGGCTGACTAAGGCAGTCGGAGGATGAATATTATGTGTGTTCACAATACATGATCCATAAAAGTTCACATAATGTTTTTAGACGCACCGATTAAAAATACGTGGTGGATTTCTGATCTCATGCTAGCAATTGTTAGTTTGTTTATTATTGTGTGTAATCGTGGCAATAAGAAATTGTTTTTACAACTGCAAGTAGTTGATCAGCATCTCAGTAGGTCAAAAAGTAATCTGAACTATAAACCCCAAATCCCCAGAGAGATGAAAAGAAAGATTCATGGTTGCAAAGCAGAATTAAAGAGCAGAGAGGGAAGGAGGAAGAGTCTGTCATCCGTCTCAAAATTATAACCAAGTGGCTAGATAGAGATGTAAAAAGAAGCAGAAAAGCAAATTACGTGGATTAGCTTACGAACTGGGGCTGCAGCTAACGATTAGTTTAATAAACAATTATTTGTATTAATTATTCTAATGATTAATTAGATTGAATTGGGTCATTCTAAAGATTTTTCATTTAACTATGTAAGCCTTTTTTATGATTAGAAATACACTAAAAGAAGAGAAAGCATCTTAATCCAAAACAACTTTTTGAACATACTTTGATGTGAGTTGCGACATTTAGTTTCCTTTTTGGGATGAATAAAGTAAATGGTAAACAGACTGAACTAATAATATAGGATTTTTTCAGTCATTTTGACCGACCAGGTTGACAGGAGGAGACTGGAATTGAACCTACAACAGTCTGATTGCAAGACAACTCTTCCCACTGAACCACAGTCACCCCCTGATGTTGTTCAATTGAATTGAAAATATGTCATTTTGAGTCTCTACTTCTGATGACTAAAATATTAATTTTAAATTGTAATGCCGTGCTACAGTAAACTCTAACAAATTCTCTATACTTTTTTTGTGCTGCTAATATTTTGTGTTTTTACCTTGTTGGCCAAGTTTGTTTTGTTACCAACGGCGGCTCTCCCGTCTTGTTTCCAGAGTTGAGACGATGTGTTTGCAACTGAAGGAGGTCGGGAACAAGGTGAACTTTATAAAACGCTCCTTGCACACGCTGGATTCACAGATCGGCCACCTGCAGGACCTGTCTGCTCTGACCGTGGACACTCTGAAGACGCTGACCGCTCAGAGGGCGTCCGAGGCCAGCAAGGTCCACACGCAGATCACCAGGGAGCTTAGTTTGTCCAAGAACGTGGTCCCCAGCATCGCGCACGTGCCAACGGACTCCAAATCGTCGGCGATAGGCAAGCGCAGCGTCAGGGCCTACTTCCCCCAAGCGGGCGTCAACATTGCGGATTCCCTTTTCGGAGTCGACGCAGGAGGAGACGGCGGGATGCAAATCCGTCAGAGATTCGGGCACGGTCCCAGAACTGAGCCGGGACCGGACCCCGGAGTGAGCACGGCGTTAAGTCCGGAGAAGAGGAGCTTATTCGGGCAGGGACACTTTGCCGCAGAGGCTGGTTCCTCCGGCAGCACGGGCGCCATAGCCTTCGTGCCGAGCGCCTCGCCCACCTCCCCTCCGGAGCACCGTCACCAAGGCCACTCTCTCACCCAAAGCAAACTAACCCGTCCGCAAGAGCTGCGCCTTTCCGACTCGCCATCCAGCCTGCCCAACGCGCCCGCCCTCGTAGCCCAGTTCCGCATCAGCAGCACCCCCTCTCAGCCCAGTGGAGCCAGCCAGCCCGACCTCGCCCAGGACGGGTTTTACCAGCAGCCGCCCCAGCCAGACACCACCTCTGTAGAGTTCGGGGCGTTTGTAGGTGAGTACAGAAACGAAGCTCTGTCCGCTGTCGAGGAGGAGGAGAAGTGTGTGTGTTTGTATCCGACTGTAGTTGTTCTCTCCAATGAGTCAAACTTCACTCAACCTGCCTGCCTGCTTGCTAGTGCTGTAAAACCTGAAAACCCAAAGGGGTTGACGCGGGGGGGTGTTAGCGGGGGTTACGTAAACGAAGCATTCAGCGACGAAGAGGGCCGATCTGCTAGAAGGTCTCCACAAAACGAAGCACTAGAGGCATCGCCGCCGTTGTATCGCGGCCTTGGAAACGGCATCCAGCCTCCTGCTGCGGTGCCCAAACGACCCCACAGACGGAAGAGGAGGGAATGTGATCCTCCAGGACGGCCAGCTTCTGTCCACAACACTCGAAACGGGTCAGAAGGTCAACGAGAAGAGAAGAAAACCGCAAGAAAGCTAAACATGAGAGGTTTGAGTTTCAGTCTGAGCTTATGGGATGCATCTGCCGGGTGCTGGGGCTTCTTCACCTGCTCTTTCTTTTCCTCTGTCTACTGTGAGTGACTTGCATTTATGTTCCTGGGTGTGGCCAAATTTCTCTCAACATCAGTTTGTTTTTGATCAAGTTTGTTTTTGAAGAGTGATTTATGTAATCATGTTATATTTTGTGGTGTACCTTGGTCATGTGGAGGTTAGAGGAAGAAATCTGAAATCTGATACTGAAGCAGAGATTACTTCACCATGATCAGAGAACAGCTGGTAGTTTTTGCTGCTGTCAAGTTGAACTGATCTCCTATTTGGACTCAGGACATAAAGATAACTTGGATATGCAGCACTCTACTCCGAAAGAGACCTCCAGCAGACAGCAAAGCCCGGCCACACCAACCAGATCACAGGTGTGTATGTTGTAATTTTTACATTTTTACAGGAGCATTGATCAGGGATTTCATTTTTACTAATATTTGGATATGGTTGGTCATACTATGGCAAGATACAATAGCAATTGCGGCTGAAACAAGTAATTGTGATGAATCGATTATTGAAATAATTTAACTAATTTGGTAATCGATTAGTCGCTAACTGGAGTGTTTAGACTCAAAAAAAGGCCATTTGCTGAAAATGAAAAATATATTCAGAGAAGAATTGTACAAAATACATATACAATCAGATTATCGGTTCAAATCCACTAAAGGAATGCTTTTATTGTATTGTAGGCAATAAAATGTTTATTTTCTTATTTTAAAAAGGAATTGAATTATTTATTTCCACCTTTTAATGTATTTCTAATATTGTGTAGAAAAGTCTTAAGTAGTTTAATAAAAAATGTGCCAGTTTTATCCAATTAATCATCAGAATAATCACTTAATCAGTTACCAAAATAATTTGTTAGTGGCAGCCCTAACAGTAAAAGAAGAATAAAGTTGATTAATTCACATTGTTGTGAAGCTCCATGTTGCAGGATGTTTTTGTGGTTGCATACCAGAAGGCATCCATGCTAATTTAAGGCATAAATGATGCAGCAGTGGCACTGCTGTCTGAAATGTGGACACTGTTTATTTTAAACATTAACCTAATGTATAAGTTGGAGTTCAGCTGTAAATGTTTGTTTTTATTTTCTTCGCATGTTTTGGTGTCTGCAAAACATTTAGGAGTCTAAATTTGGTGCTCCTTGGGCGCCCCCAAGTGGTCAAATAATTATAAGCTTAATTTATCAGAAAGTAGGTTCATTATATGGAGATCACTGTATTTTCTTCAGTGCAGACAGATCTTCTGCATAGCATAGCATGAGGTTAAATAATGTAATTGCTTTAGCATTTGAGTAGCATTTGTAAATTACTTCACAATGGAGCATCTGTAAATAGTGTTGTCTTTCATATTTCTTCTGTTTTTTGTTTTTTTTTTGTTATACTTTTAAAGTCGTCAACTAAATTTTAATATAAAGATGACCGAAGTAAATTAAATTGTATTAAGTTAAAAAAAATTAAAAGCTGTCCAAACCAGCCTGGCCTTATTTGATAATAAAATGCAATTTGTATAGCATGAGGCAGATTAAAAGTTATCAAAAAAGCAACATATGTCATGCGCTGCTCTAGAGAAATTAAAGAACAAATGAGAAACAAAACACAAATTGCTCCTGGTTCACTTCAATTAAAGTCTGTGTCTTTGATTTAATTGTACAAAATTAAAAATGGCAACCATGGGAGAAGAAGGAGAACACATTTACAAACTTTGGTAAATGTGTCACTTTTGAAACCAACATGGATCATGTTGGTTGTGTTGTATATGACCAACAATCTCTACATATGCAGCTTTTTGCTCAGATATTACATGACAATCAGATTTTCCTTCATCTTCTCATTTTCATTTTTTTTTCTGTCTGCGTCTCCACTTGCTCTCTTGCGGCCACAGGTTGAAAGTCACGGTCTCATCCGAGCGGTCAACTCCTACGCTGGCTTCACAGAGTTTGACAGAACCCCCGCTTTTCTTCATCCAGACTCGAGTAAGTTCAGAAAAGAAAATTGTAAATTAGATCTTCTAGTTCAGTGTCCTCCCTTCAGTAGTAACAATGGTGTAGCATAATTGATTTCTGATGGTTTATTGTGTTTGTGTAGCTCTGACAAAGAAGGACAGGAGTAGAGTTTCAGCTGAAGACATCCCTAGAGCTGCAGTACTAGTAAGAGCTTGTTGTGTGCGTTTGTGTGTAAAGGTTGACGTGGACTTGTGTTTGATTAACGTGTTGCTTCTCTACCAGGAAAGGGTTCAGGTGAAATCAGCCCAAGCCAGCACCCTGTAAGTGTCCTTCCACTTCTCCTTATTGACATATAAACATCACCTTTCTACAAACAGTTTTACAAATGCTCCAACACAAAGTGAAAGTGGTGACAGATTAGATCGGGGTTCTGATGACTGGCTCTCTCATCAGTTCTCTCTCTCTCTCTCTCTATCAGGAGACCTCCTGAGGAAGAAACATTAAATGGTAAGAACTGGAGTTGCTGTTAGTATATTTTAGATTACTGATACAGATATCACAGGATTGGTATCGACCAATACCGATCTGATATAGGAAAACGTAACTGACTTAAAACCTTTCTTTTTTTAAAAACATAAATGTACTGAATCAGAAATGTATTAACTCTGCAGCAGTACAGCACACTTAAATACGCTAAGCATTTTCACGAGCTTGGTCAAACATGTAAAACAAAACAACTTTGATTTGTTCGGTCAGTGCAGTTATGGGATATAACAGCCAATCTAAAATAAATAATAAAGAATCTGTCAAAAACAATAGGTTGACAACTTTGGTCAAACATATACGTTTGTTTCAATATCTGGACCAATACAGATATTATCAGATCTCTGCTTTGGTTGTTTACCTTTCTCAGGATCTTTTGAATGTGAAGTTCTCCAAACTTCAACCCTGGGGAAATAAAAGACAGGGTGGAAATCTGTGGTGTTTGTACAGTTCAGGCTGGATTTAATGCATTTTACAATCCAAAGGCAATTGTTTTATACCAGAAACATCTTAGATTTAATGCCAACCTTCACTTTACCGTGACCATAGTTTGTTTTTTCTTCCTGAATGAGACCTTTACTTAGCTGCTCCTCTTGTGTGGTTACAGCTGCCGTTTCCCTGTACACGGCACGCCACAGCCACCTCGGAGCCAGGAAGGACTGTGAGTCTCACTGATGGGCACAAGATAAACTAGTTGACCTCATTTAAACCAAAGATATTTATTAGCGGGCCTTATTTTCACATTGGACTTTTACTTTTTTTTTAAACTTCTGTCAATCATGTTTGGATTTTTTTTTTTTTTTTTTTTTTTTTTTTTTTTGTTCATCCACTTTACAGTTATGCAAAATGCTGTGTTGGTCCGTCACATAAAATCCCTCCAATTCTTTGAAGTTTGTGTTTGTAACATGACACAATTTGAATGCTATGTAAATTTGTAACAACTACTAGTACTACCTGTTGCATCAAACCGTTTTAGTTGTTTGTGTTCTTGGTTTTTAATTATGTATGGCCATCTAGTGGCTGATGCCGGAACTGCTTAATGAAGTCTGAGTGTAGTTAAAAAGACATTAATTTCTGTTTCTTCAGCTATCGGCTCTCCGTTCAAGCCTATGGAAAGCTATCAGTACTCGGGTGAGGAGACTACACTGGTGTTCAAACATTTCCACTCTGTTAATAATAAATACTTGTTATCCATTCACTTTAGTAACTTCTGTAAATAATGAGCAAGTCTTTGCTTTTCACTCTTCTTCCTCCAGCTGTAGAGCGCAACAACTTGATGAGGCTGTCTCAGAGCATCCCCTTCACTCCTGTGCCCCCTAGAGGTGAAAACACAGTAATACACCAGTCCTCACCTTTTTGACGGCTTCATTAATAACCAGCGAACTGTTTGAGAATGAGGAAGCATGAAGGCAGATAAGAGATCTCTTCTACTCCCACTGCCGTTTGCTTCGCAGTGAATGAGCAAAGTGTCGGTGCTGCCTTGAATGTTTCGTCTTTTTTTTTAACAGTTATTATGACTTTAAAATTAGATTACTTCTTCTTTCGAAAGAGGAAGTGCTGGTTTTGACAATGAGGATATGATGTTTTGACGGCTACAGGTGATGGGTTTTCTTTTTTAATTAGTAAAATAACTTAAGTCATGTAGAGGCAAACAGTGGTTGTCATGGTGCTACCCTTTTAAAATCATTTAGTATGCAGGTCATTTAAAGGATAGGTAAAAATGTATATAGTTTCATAAAAACTAATCTGGAAAAGCTAAATATTTTCATTAGGAAAATATCTGGAATTCTGGGGAAGGTTTTAGGAGCTGGAAAACTAAAATTATTCAGCATGCATTTTTGTTAGTGTTTTTTTAGGTGAAGGTTTTATGCGTTTGGTCTTTTTAGGTCAAGGCACAAAAACCGTCACATGTGCAGGCGGTTTAACAGTTCAGTAACACCATGACAAGTTTGACTCGTCACTTTATCTGTTCCTTTTTTTTGGTCTTTGAGCACAGCATAATCTAACTGTGCACCTCATTGTTCCACAAGATTGTAAAATGAGTTTATTATTGTGTCGCATGCAAACTCACAGCTATTTTCCGCCTCTGACCTCCGCATCATGACTGCTGAGAGACTCACCTCTAGTCTAAATGTAGCTGAGTTAAAAACCAGAAGAACTCGAGCAAAGGTTCTCAGTTCTAAACTTATACGGAGCATTCACATCTGTTTTTTTTTTTTAAAGCAAGTTACAGTTCTCTTTTTATTTCTAATTGATTTTGTACTGAAACATTTTTGTTATGAATCATTTTGAAACTTTTTTTTTTCCACTTCTCATTCCATTTTCTGTAACCTTTTGACTACGGAGCCCGTGACATGGGAAGGAACAAAGACGTGTAGGAACTACTTGTTTACTTCTTGGGAACGAGATAATTTGCATTGTTGCATGGACAAGTGTAATCTAAAACAAAAACTGTTATTTATTGGCCAAAGTTTCAAACATTTAAATGGGTAGCATCTACAACATGACCGTTATTTAACAAGAGTTGCCTGTGCATTTTGTAACAATTGGTGTAAAATTTAATTATTTTCTTGGATATTGTGACGGAAATGATTACAAAATGCGTTCAATGAGTTTATTATATTCTACGCTGATTATTAATGCCGTTTTAATAAAGTTTTAAAACATTTTCAAAGCAGAACTCGTCATGCGGCATTAGAGCGTAGGCTATTATTTTGGTAGGAGCAGCCAAATTAAACGCCTCTTGCTAAGAATTACTCTATACCTGACCGCAAGTCACTGAAGAATAGGATTCTAATTCAGGTTGAAATGAAGCAAAAGCAAATCAGACTGCTCCATGTTTGCGAGATGCTAATGAACGGAACCGCTTTGTTTTTTTTAAATTAACCTTCCTTTTATGGCTTGCAGACTACGCATTTCAGCTCTTTGTTTAATCCGTTTCCTTGTTCCTGCAGGTTTTGTTCATCTTTGTAGTGTAAACATCTTGCCTGACAAGTTAAAAACTCGGGCAGTGAGCCTAATATCTATTACGTTGGCAAAAATTGCGCTCAGTGGAAGAAGCGGCAAATGTGTGAAATTTTAACCCATCCTAAAAGGCAATGACATTTGGTTGGCAGTTATTAAGATGAGCGCTTGGAGAGAATAGTCTTACAGCTAGAAATAATTTGCACACAAATCGGTGGCTAAGACATCCTGCTTTGTGTTGCCACAGGGGAGCCGGTGACGGTGTACCGTCTGGAGGAGAGCTCCCCAAACACAATCAACAACAGCATGTCCTCCTGGGCCCAGCGGGGCCTCTGTGCCAAAATAGAGTTTCTGAGCAAGGAGGAGATGGGCGGAGGACTCCGACGGGCTCTGAAGGTCCTTTGCACTTGGTCAGAGTACGACATCCTGAAGCCTGGACACCTCTACATAGTCAAGTCCTTCCTGCCTGAGGTGGTCCAGACATGGGAGAGCATCTACAAGGAGGAGACCGTGTTGCATCTTTGTCTCAGGGTGAGAATATTTAGATCTACTTTGTGTTATTCTGCAGTAAAAGGTCTGGGTGTGTCCCCAAAGAGGAGAGATCCAAGAAATGCCAAACCTTGGCAACAGCTTTTCCATGTTCAGTGTTTTCTGTTTCACAACATTTCCCTAATCAATTGCTATGATTTTTGGTAACTTTTCTTTTTCTTTTATCACTCAAGGAAATTCAACAGCAACGAGCTGCTCAGAAGCTGACGTTTGCCTTCAATCAAATCAGGCCAAAGACAATTCCTTACTCACCGAGGTAACCAATCACATCCTGTTCATAGAAACCTGATTATTCATTCATTCCTGGTCATATTTGTTTAGTGTGTAGAACGCTCCTCTTGCAGCTTGTCTAACCTCTGACTCTGAAAGGGGAACCCCATGTCAGTTTCTGCAGTAGTACAATAGTACATTGTTTTAGCGTGATGTCTTTTCTGAAGCCTTTTACCGGACACCATCTGTACCAATGGTTTCTACACTCAACTTATCTAACAGAATGCTTTCCAATTTGTCAGTGGTAGTAAAACTTGCTAACAGTAGTGCCATTTTATTTTCATACAAGTACAGAGAAATCCGGTCAGAAGCAAGAAACTTTTTTTTTTAACGTTCATTAAACACGACATGCCAATAAGCTAACACATGGACAGAAACACTCTTCAGTGCAGAAGTTCTTTCTTGACAGAAGAAACAAAGTTGACAATCACTTACAGAAAGCAGAAGATGTGTAGGAACCAAAATCATTTTATTTTACTCCAGGCAATGTATTGTCTCAACAGTACAACATCATCTGGATAGACAGAAAAAAAATAAAAAAAATTTGGTAGAGGTGCTCCAGTTTCTGGCCGATTACCTAACGATACCACAAAGGACTGTAATCAACGTCGGACTGTTATTTTCCATAGGTTTGACTTGTCAGTCGAACATTTTCTTTAGATGACAGGCTAAAATTCATAACAAGTCTCATTAAGATTTTAGAAAAGAAAGAAGTTGTTTACTATATCAGGTGTCATTATCAAAACATCAAACAATCCTGTTATAATCACACGTTTTCCATTCTGGTGATGCTGCCGTCCCTGTCCTTTAAAAATGATCACCGGTCTTGAGCCGCGCTCATCATTCTGTGTGTTCAGGTTTCTGGAGGTATTCCTGCTGTACTGCCACTCAGCTGGCCAGTGGTTTGCCATTGAAGAGTGCATCACCGGCGAGTTCAGGAAGTTTAACAACAACAACGGAGACGAGATCGTTCCCACCAACCTTCTGGAGGAGACCATGCTGGCCTTCAGCCACTGGACGTACGAGTACACCCGGGGAGAGCTGCTGGTGCTCGACCTGCAGGGTAAGACGGGTGTATGTGCGCCAATGCCACATTTATTCTTTAAAAAAATTAGCCGTTTCTTGTAATGCCGCTTTCATTTGCAGGCGTCGGGGAGATCCTGACGGATCCGTCTGTCATTAAGAGCGGGGAGAAAGGGTGAGCGTTCTCACAACATGGAGTCGCCATTTTCTCATTTAATCCTGATCAAGTCAAGAGTTCAGGAACTGACTTATCCCTCTGTCTCTGCTGCAGATCGTACGACATGATATTCGGACCTGCCAACCTTGGAGACGATGCCATCAGAAACTTCCGGACTAAACACCACTGCAACTCCTGCTGCCGGAAACTCAAACTTCCTGGTGGGACGAGCTTTCGAGCTGCTGACTGGTTGCTTAATTTCATATGGGAATTGTTGGCAACACTTTATTTGAAGGGGTGTGCATAAAACTGACATGACGCTGTTATAAACATGACATAACACCTGTTATGAACATAAAGGAGTCTTTGTGAATATTTATGACTGTCATGAAGTGACATTCGGTAAATAATGACACTTTTAATGCAAAGTTGTATTAAAACTTCTATTAAAAGTGTCAACTGTATTAACTGAGTGACACTTCATGACA